TAGGTCTTTGTGAAGCTCTTTGAAGGAAAGAATAGGAAAGCAGATGAGAGCTAGCCACTAGAGATTGGGTTCCTGACTCCACTGTTGCCCCAATTTCACCACCCAAAATTATTTAGAATGTGTGCTTATGTTTACCTGCATTACTTTTGTAATGGAATTCCCAGCAAGGAATCTACTACAGTCTTATATAATTTTACCTCGTCATTTTTCTGATTTCAAAATTAATATATTTGTCCTGAAAACAAATGCGGTGCAGAATGAGTACTTGTTAGGGAATTTTTTTCTTGTATATCTCCTTCATCCTGATATACATACAGCAAGATGCCCATCATTCATAATTAAATTTGTATTTTCCAGTCATATTTTTGCGTGTAGAGAATTTGTATTTTCCAGCTATATTTTTGTGTATAGAGTACTATAGAGGTAGAGTTGCATGAACATATATAGTTCTTCAAAATTTGGATTACAATACATATACTGTTCTTCAGTATGCTTTATACATGCATACACAGACATATACAGATATAATTTGTTTTGTACTTTATTATTATTATTTTTAAAGATTTTATTTATTTATTTGACAGAGAGAGACACAGCGAGAGAGGGAACACAAGCAGGGGGAGTGGGAGAGGGAGAAGCAGGCTTCCCGTGGAGCAGGGAGCCCGATGCAGGGCTCGATCCCGGGACCATGACCCGAGCCGAAGGCAGACGCTTAACAACTGAGTCACCCGGGCGCCCCTATACTTTATTATTTTTTTTAAAGTAAGCTCTATGCCCAACGTGGGGCTTGAGCTCATGACCCTGAGATCAAGAGTCACATGTTCTACCGACTGAGCCAGACAGGTGTCCCATGTTTTTATACTTTAATATTTATATGTTTGACTGTGATGCATAGTTTAAATTACTTTCACTGTGGATTTTGAACTACACTCTTCTAGGTACTCGGATTTATTTACATATGATAATAACATTTTTTTTAATAAAATGTTCTGAATATTGTCCCAATAATTCACATTTCTTTACATTTAACGTTTTTGCTCGGGATAGACAAAGTCTTTCTATAACTTCCCTTTAATTTTTCTAATTACATTTGTAACGTGGTTAACGTGTTTCCAGGGCCGCATATCTAGTTTTAAATTTCTCTGGTGTGTATGTGATGCCCACTGGGTTCTCAAACAACCCACCGTCCTGGTGGTGAAGGTGATCGTGGAGATGCAGTGCCGGCCCTTGCACCTAGAGGCCTGCATATAGGGCCCCATCGACTGGCCTGTCTGAAGCCAGGTGTGTGACCCAGGCAGACGCACAGGGAAAATGACCTCCATGGCAGGGATGAAATCATCATTTACAGAGTTACTTTAAGCCGGAGGCACATTACATATCTCCTTGAAGCCAAGCAAGTGTTCAAGTATCATCCCTATTTTTCACAAATGTAGAATTAGATATAAAGCTTTTCCCACTGTGTCCTGACGCCTTTAAGGCTTTGAATGACTGAATCCCCATGGGCGCTGGTAATTGATGAAACCCTGTGTGTTATTCACTTTTGCTATATTATTTTTAAAACAAAGTCAACAAAAATTTAAAACCAATTTGTGTGCCGTCAAAATAAAAAATGAAAAGCTGGGAGTAAATATGTGCAAACATTATTACAGACCTTGTGCTAATATGCGTGAACATAAAGGACTGTTGCTAACCAGTTGATAGAGAAAAAGAGCCCAAAGATAGGAATAAATAATTCACTGAGAACGCAAAATGCTTCTCTAAGAAACACTGGAGAGATGCCAAACCGCGTTAGCTGAAGAAATGAAAATCTGGAGAAGTCAGAAGAAGTGAAAAAGCCAATTTGCATAAAACTACTTATGTGATTGATAATTTAAAAATAATACATGTACATATGGAACACTTGTGTTTTAAGGTAAGTATTCACCTTACCTAAAGAGAATACATGTGGAAAATGAGCACCAATCTATTTAGAGTGGGTACCTGTGGGTCACAGAGAGGGGATCATTGAGCTGGAAGGTACAGAATAATTTCATCTTCTAAATGTATATTTGTAGGGTTTAATATTTTGACATCAGGTAAGTTTGTTGAAAGAAACACTTAAAATATCCCATAACTAACGGACAAAAAAGTTCACATATATTTTTACCAGTTTATAAAAGCGTTCACCTGTTTTATAAAACTTTTTAATAAAAGTTTTATAAAATTTAAACAACTTCCGCTCCTGACGTGGACAGTTTATCTGTGTATGTGTGTGTGTCTTACACTTCCCTCACGCCAAATGTTCACGCCCTCTCGTGTGCAGATTTCCTTTTAGCTCACTCGGGCTGGACTTGCCCTGTCAGGGCATAGAGACTCAGGAAAGAATTGCTGGCAGGGGGTGGGAAATTGCAGAGAGTTCTGGCTGAAGCACCAGAGCCCAGGCCTTTTCCTCCCTCCCTTTCTTTGACAGCGCCCCTGTGCCAAGACTTTCAGAGCTACAATTCTGGATCTGACCACCAGAGGGCATCTATCCACAGTGACTACATTTCTTTTTCTTTTTCTTTCTTTCTTTCTTTCTTTCTTTCTTTCTTTCTTTCTTTCTTTCTTTCTTTCTTTCTTTCTTTCTTTCTTTCTTTCTTTCTTTCTTTCTTTTTTAAAGATTTTATTTATTTATTTGCTAGAGAGAGACACATTTCTAAAGGAAAAACCATGCTTCTTTTTCCTACTCTCCTCGTAGTGACCCACCAACTGTTTGCTGTTTCCCTTACACTTCCCAGCTGTTTTGTGTGTAACCTCTTTGGAATGTGCTGGAGTTATTTCCTGCCACGTGGCTATTTCCAAATGTTTCTGTTACTTTACCCTTATTTCAGACCTCATATACGGTTGTCCCTTGAACAACATGGAGGTTAGGGGCACCGACTTCAGCTGGGTGGAAAATCCATCTATAACTTTGGACTCTCCAAAAACTTAGCTGCTAATAGCTTACTGTTGACTGGAAGCCTTACCGATAACATAACCAGTCGATTAACACATATTTTGTATGTCATATGTATTATATACTGTATTCTTACAAGAAAGTAAGCTAGAGAAAAGAAAATGTTATGAAGAAAAGCATAAGGAAGAGAAAATACATTTACAGTCGCGTACGGTAAAAAAAAAAAAAAAAATCCGCTTATAAATGGACCTGTGTGGTTCAAACCCTACTTTAGATGCCAGATGCCAGGCTCAAGGGTCAACTGTATTGCAGGAAGCGTTCATTACAGCTATGCATAGCGGTGTCATCCTATCTCATGGAGCTCAGTTCCAGTCTCTGTTTCTCTAAGTAGTATCTGAATGACCCCAGAGAAACTCCTGTATCTAAGACCCAGCAACCTCAGAGAAGGCAAGGAGCTGGTGACTATGTAATCAGGGTCCCTTTTTGAGGAAAAATGAAGGAACACCATGTTATACAGTAGGCCGCAGAATCTCCTGGATTTGCAGCTACAAGTACCTGGGTCCCAGGCCTCCTGACTCTAGTCAGCCTCCTGTGGGAGAGTGGCGCAGTTGGAAATGGCTCCTGGGGCATTAGGCTGGTCACAAAACTCAGGGGGAAGTCACATTTTGTTTTTTGTTTGTTTTTTCTTTGTTTTGCCTTTTGCTTTTGTTTTTTTCTGGCTGCCAGGGCTCTCCTCTCTATGCCCTTGAGAAAGGGTTTTCCTATTAGGACTCCATCTTGTTTGTGTGGCCCTGACAAAGTGGTTTGAGGTCTGCTCTTGCCTTCCTCAGCAGCCCTCCCGGATCTTCTCGAAACCTCCAGCTGCGGACCCCACAGATTCACCTCATGAGCACCCTGCGAGGACACTGGTGATGGGTCACTGCCTGCAGGTCACCCCATAGGTGGGTTGGTCAGTGCTGGTCCTCAGTCTCAGGACCCCCCGGCCAGGAAGGCTCTGGGACCCCTCTCCAAGCCACTCCAACAAGACACCCAGCAGGCCCCCTTTAGGTGGGGTGTGGCAAGTGCCCAGGCTGAGTGTTTTCCCTTCTCCTGAGGACATGACCCCAATGGGCCGTAGCACACCTACCCTAGTTCTACATGGAAAACCTGTCCTCCTGCGGCTATGGTCATGACTGAGGTGCAATCTTCTCCTCGGCATATTCATCATGCTTTCTATTAACTATATTTTATGATGCTTTGACAAAATAGGGGCCTTGTGGACCTGGTGAAGGGACTGCCTCTCCGAAAGTGAGCTAATTCCTTGAGATAGCAATCAACGGTTTTGATATGCAAACCAACCAATCCAGAGTCCACACCTCCCACCACCTCCTTTATCAAATTCTCATACCCCAGTTCAATATTCTCTTTGCCCCAAATCACCCCAAGTTCAGATACTGGACAACTAGGGGCCACCCCTCTAGCCCAGAGTCTACCAAAATTGTTCAAACTTCAGTCCAAAGCTTTACTCAGCATCCTGATCCTGCCTCTCCCAATCCTTCCCATAAAGCCAGATAAACGACTCTGGCTCATGTTTTCCCCTCATTCTGTCTGCCTCCTGACCAATGCAGGTGTTTCCTTATGTGGCCCCGAGTGGGTCATGGCAGGTACCCTCCCCTTGGGAGCTGTAGGTCATAAACTCCTCTTTCAAGGACGCTGTCTCCATGTCTATCATCTTACCATACCTGAGTCAAGCAAATCTCAGGTATGTTTTAAGACATCTAGTTGAAGGGAAAGGCCTGAGTCATGTGCTCCTCTCAGGTCAGGGGTTTGGTACGTGGAGAGAGTCCTTTGGAGCTGGAGGTGGGCGTTGTTGGAAATTAACATTCTTGGGAATCATGCAAAGGTAAGAGAGGGGCAGAGAACCCAACATTACCTTTGAATCTTCACACCAACCATTCAGGCTAGATTGTATTAGGTTCATGGAAGTTCATCAAGGCTTCCCTTATGGCCCAGCATGTGACTTATTCTACAGTGTTCCATGTGTAATTGTTATGTGCATTGTTCCATGTCAATTAAGTAAATAAATTTGTTAGTAGCGTTTATTTTTTAAAATACAGAATGCTTCGCAAATTTGCGTGTCGTCCTTGCACAGGGACCATGCTAATCTTCTTTGTATCGTTCCAATTTTAGTATATGTGCTGCTGAAGCGAGGACTTGTTACTAACATCGTTTAAATCTAATTCATCTAACTGAATTTCCATTTGCCTGTTTTAAGCTATCACTCAGTGAGATGTGTTAAAATTTCCAGTTGTGATAGTGAATCTGTCCACATCTTCATTTACTTCTGCCAGTTTTAGCTTTTAATATCTTGTATGCAATCCCAGTGTATGGGTTTCCCCCCCACACACATTCAAGCAAGTCTCCTACACAAGCTGGGTGTCCTATAATTTAACTCAATTTTGACACTATCTACCTGGAGATAGCATCAGATTCCACAGGTTGAGGGCTCAGTCCCACATGACTGCCCTCTACCTTAGATGCTAGATGCCAGGCTCAAGTCCAAGTTGTTACTTGTGCTTCTGACTGACTGGCTGTAAGTCAGAGGTTCCCACATCCCCTTCCTTGGGTTCGATTAATTTGCCAGGGTGGCTCACAGAACTCAGGAAACCCGTTTCCTCACTAGATTACTGGTTTTTTACAAAGGATATTAAAGAACAGGAATCAACATCCAGATGAAGAGATACATGGAGTGAGGCCCCAAACGCAGAGGCTTCTGCCCTCATGGAGTTTGGGGCATGGCACATGGATGTATTCTGGTTTACCAACCTGGAAGCTCTGAACACAGTCCTTTGTTGTTGTTGTTTTTTCCCCAGACATTAGTAGTCTATTGTTTCTTTAGCCCAAACACATTCAAAATGGAAACTCAAAGAATACTCTTCCACCTGAAACAATTAAACCAGATTCTACTAGCATATAATGTTGAACACATTACAGCAATAAAGATGGTAATCCATTGTCTTCCATACCTACTAAAGCCAAGATGGTAAAGCCAATTTGGTTGCAATAGTGTCATAAGGATAGAATATTACCACAAAAAAATCAGCAAATAATAGTAATGGTCAATGAATATTTTGACTCTGGTTCACTGAAACGGGGACAAAATGTTGAAAGTCCACAGTACTGCAGGTGAAAAATCACCACGGAGGCTTCCTTATATAGTCATGATTAAATCGTTGGCCGTTGGCCATTGGACTCAATCTCCAGTCCCTCTCCCCTCCCCAGAGGTCAGGGAGGTGGGACTGAAAGTTCTAACCCTCTAATCTCTTGGTTGGTTCTCCTGGCAACCAGCCCCCAACCTCAGGTGTTTTCCAAAAGTCATTTCACTAACATAAGAAGTGACAGACTTAATCATTCTCAGCACAGAAAATTGCAAGAATTTTAGAAGCTTTGTATCAGAAGGGACAAAGACCAAATAGTGCATATATTTTTTTTTCTTTTCTTTAAAGATATATTTATTTATTTTAGAGAGAGAGAGAGAGAGAGAGCGCACACACGTGCGTGTGAGCACACGGGGTCGGGGGGGGCGGCGGAGGGCAGAGGGAGGGAACCCCAAACAGGTTCCCCGCTGAGCATGGAGCCCACACACAGGGCTCCATCCTATGACCCATGAAATCATGACCGGAGCCGAAACCAAGAGTCAGACACTTAACCGACTGAGCTACCCAGGCACCCCACTGCATATATTTCTTACTATAAATCACAATATCACAGCTTGGTATATTTTCGCTCTATATAAGAGGTGCAAATAAATTTAGAATTGTTTTATTAATATCTTCTTGTTCAATTGAACCTTTTATTATTATGAAATCTCCCTCTTACCTCTAGTAAGGCTTTTGTTTGAGAGTATACTTTTATTTTATTAATGTGGGTATACTAGATTTCTGTTGGTTAATGTTCAAATTGCCATTTTCCCCCAATTTTCTATGTCATTAAATTTTACATGTGTCTCTTTTAAGGTGCATTTGGTGGAATTTTTATCTAGTCTGATGTTTGCCTTTGCACTTGAAATATTTCATCTGTTTACATGTAATGAAATTAGCAGACATAATTTGGCTTAACCATGCCATCCTAATATTTGTTTTTACCTACTCTAATTTCCTTTTTCCTTCCCTTTCTTTTGAAATAATCCATATTTGACTATTTGATTTTTACCTCATTTGGCAAGTTAGTGACACATTCTTTTGTCATTCTTGTAGTGTTTACCCTTGAGATTACAATATACACACTTAACTGTCAATTACTTTATTTACATGTTATGAGAAAACACAGGAACCGTAGAATAACTTGGCTCCATTTTAACCTTCCCAAGTTGCTGTTATGCGTTTTAATTATCTAAACACTTAAATCCCAGAAAACATTATTGTCATGTATTATACAGTTAACACTCACTTAGACTTGTTTACATATTCATCAACGTCATTTTCTTTCTTTTGCGCATCTGTCTTTCCACCTGGGGTCATATTTCCTCTGCCTGAAGAGGAAACTTTAGTATTTCTTTTAACTTGAGACTTTGGGTGCCAAATTTGCCTGGTTTGCTACATTACAATGACTGTTTTCCATTTTTGAAAGACATTTCTTTCTAGGGATGGAATTCTAGGTTTGCAAGTATTTTACTTCTGTGCTTGGAAGATAAAAACTCACTCTCTTCAAGATACTATTGTTTCTGTTGAAAGATTAGATTCCAGTCTGATTGCTGCTTCTTTGGGGATGATCTGTCTTTTCTTCCTCTCTCAGCTTTGAGTATCTGCTCTCTACCTCTGGGTGTCAACAGTATTACTGTGATAAGTCTACATTTGGTTTTCCTCGTACCCTTCTAGGCTTGACAAACAGAGAGCTTCATGAATCTGCAACTTGATGTCTTTGGTCACTTTTTAAACTTCCCAACTATCGTTTCTTTAAATATATCTTCTGCACTGCTCCCTTTCTTTTTTTCTGGGACCAATTGAACATGCGTTGGCGTTGTTTGCTATAACACCTTCAACTCTTGCCGCTTCTCTTTCAGGATCCTCCACCATGTTGTCTCACCAGGCTTAATGCTGGATATTTCTTCAGACATGCTGTCTGTTTATATACTTCTCCATTTAGGTAGGGAACTTGCCTTTGACTCTTGAAACACTACACCACACAGTCAGGGCGGATTCTATTATGAGCTTAGAGCTCAGGTTGGAGGAGGGGGTTATAGTCATTAATTAACTTGTGCCGGGGTCACCCAGCCTGGAAATGGCAGAGCAGGAACTAAGATTTCCAGAATGGGCCCTCTGTCCAACCCTTTCTCCTGTGCTTGTTCTCTCCTGGGCTGAGAATGCTCCCTACCTCTCATCTCCCAGGAGGCAGATCCACAGTGGAGTTTTCCAAACTTTTAAGCATGCGCTTGCTATATTTCCTTTTAGGTTAAAAAAGTCAATGATATTTCTTCATTATCCATAAATGCTATCACAGGACTTTGCTCTCTTATTCAGGTCATTGATGTGTTTTCTACCTTGATTTGCTTTTAATTTTGTTTCTTTTATACTGTTCTTCCTGATTTCAGAGTACATTGATAGACATACTTCCTTTCAAAGAGGAGCTAGATACCTGGGTGTTTCCCAAGGAAGTATGAAAACTGGTATAAACATGGCATCTCTGGCATTCATCCTTCATGCATCCATGAACAAGATGGAGAAGTAGCAATGAATGGTGCTTATGCGGACCCCCGAATAAGATAGTGTTAAGAAAAAAAAATTCAACTGAGTAAAATTTAAAGATCTTATTGGATTTATTCAACATCCTATGAATTGGGGGACAGCACCCCATCTAGCAAATAGAAAGAAGCTCCTAACAGCTGTACAAAAGGGAAGACTTTTCTAGGCAGAAGAAGGCAGGATGAGGAAATTACTAGCAAATAGTGGATTGTTTAAGACAAGGTCACCTCCCTTTTGGGGGATGGCAGGGGCCTATTAGGCAGATTACCCCATTAGTACTGGACAGGAGATTCTAGACCGACTAGTTAAGATTACATTTGTGGGAGAGGCTGAAGCTGCAGTGAGGTTAGGCATTAAGTCTCTGGTGACATGGGCTTGACTCCACTTGGGGACCTTTGTCTCTTTCTTGACAGCGTGATCAGTCATCATGGTTGACATGTACTAGCCAGTGGCATACATAACCCTATAGTTAACTGTATCTTTTTTTTTTTTTTCTACAGCATGACAGAGCCTAGGAATTAATTACCGGTCAAGCAATCCTAATGGTAGTCCTGGTATCTGTGGGGCAAAAATGTAGAAATCTTTTTTAGAATTCATGGACTCCTTCTTTCTCTCCACTTCCCCACAGCACCCACTAGGCCAACTGACTCTACCAGAGGAGAAGCCAATGGCATTATGAAGGCCTTGTCTATGCTAATGTGGACATATGGAAAGAGAGAATTCCTCCAGGGAGAGAAATGGGGGTGAAGTGGCAGGATGGAACCATGGGAGCTGGTTCAAGATTGCAGTGAGTGTCCTGGCAAAATGTATGGAATGTGCAGGAGAGACAGGTCAGGGGCAGTTGCACTGGTCTTGTGCAGAGGCACTAGGTTACTTTGCTGGGACAGGTGAGCTTTTTAATGTGTCCTTTTTTTCTTCTTTTACTAGTAGTTATCAGCCTTGGTCATCTAAGGGCAGGTTCAGAGAAGGGATATAAAGAGATTAGAGCAGAGGATGGCTAAAGGCAAAGGTGAAAACTACACCCAAGGAGATGAAGCAACTTTCCACTGGATGCCTCAGCTTGGCTCAAGGTGAGTGCAGGAGATGGGGGCTCAAGTCTCTGGAGACCTTGTCTGAGGGGCAAGCAGGGTCTTCACAAGGTGGGATCTCCTGGAAATTTATGAAAGGAAGATCATAGAAACAGGAGCTACATAAAAACACAAGCCTAGTACTTTGTCCAGGATGCTGACACTGACTGCGCATCGAAGGGTATCAGCTATAAGATGTATAACAAAGAGAACCAGAAGGTGCATGCCGAGGACATTACCTGTACCTAGTCTTGGGGAAGGAGGACAGGCCTGGGGTTGGTTCACTTCTTTAGAATGAGACTTCCTGGTGCTTACCCCACCCCTCCTTTCTATAGATATCTATCTTTGTCATTCCTTCTTCTGTACCCTACTTGGTGCAGTATAATTTGGAGCTAGAAGAAATGGA